ACATCCTCGTCAGTTTATTTTTTCACTTCTTTTCTTCATCTTCTTCTATTCTATACCGAAGTTTCTATTTTCAAAGAAAAAAAAATAATATACATCAAATGTTTAACATACTGCTTGTAATTTATAACCATAGTTCGATAGAGTAACTTTCTTTAGTACCATATTGCAAACAATTGATGAGAAATTTCTGTCAGATGTTACCATGGCAGAGAATATTTTTCTTTTTTTTTCTTTTAAAATTATTATTGTTAATTTATGGTACATTCAAATAAAGATCAGATGGACCAGAGCCCTAAAAACTACTCTGTACTAATTATGGTTGTAAGTTGTAATCAATGGTAAAAAAGTAGTAGTTACAAATAGGGATGTGGATTAGATCAGTGGTACCATTGGTCTACAGACACGTTTTTATAAATGGTAACTAATGGTTAATTATTGTGTAATTAAATTTTACATTTAATTTATATGACAAATTTTAGGCAAAAATTGTTTATATCATTTAAATATATATAATTCATTTAACTTAGTAAGAGGGCTCGAACCAGTGAAAGTATTTAAAAATACGGAGCTTTACGGACCAGAAATTAAAAATTACGGACCAATTACTGACAAAAATATAAACAGTCCGAGTCAAATTAGAGAACATCGTACTTAAAAGTATAAATTAAATTTTTTCATAACTATAAAACATGAAGAAATCGATCACTCCGAGTCCTCGACTCGGAGTAATCGATATCTTCATGTTTTATAATAATTAACGGTGGTAAATTAATAAAATCATTATTTTATATCATAAGAATATTGTACTTCTTCAAAATTATTTTCATCATTTCAATTCAATTATTATTTTTAAGAATTTTTCACTAAAATTTTTCTTTAAATCTATTAATTTTCGAAAAAGTTCTTCGACAATTTTGAAAATCCATTTATTTACAATATATTCAATTTTACAAATTTCAATTATTCGTAAATTCTTTAATTAAATATATATTAGAAAATAGAAATTTCAAACTTCAAATAATATAAAAAATTCAATTATACTTTTTTTAAAAAAATTAATTTTAAAATTCAATTATTTATAAAAATTCACGCCCTATATTGCTTTTAATATTCAATTATTATCTAAAATTTTAAATGAAATTCATTTTTAAATCAATTTTTATTAAAAAATTCTTCTAGTATTCAATTATTTAAATACAAAAATAAATAATTTATTGAACAATTGAATGTTTCTTAAACTTGAATTCTTATTTCTTATACATAATATTATTAACAAATTTTTAAATAATAGAATTCTTTCGACGAATTTTAATAAAATTCTTAATAATAATTACATTTATCGAAGAATTCGATTAAAATTTAATTAAAAATTATTTAAATTTTTTCTATTTATGAAAATAATTGAATTCCTTAAGAATTTTATTATTTATAAAAATAATTCAATTATATTGAGAAGAAATTTATAGTTTGTAAATAATTGAATTTCTGTGAAATTGTTATTTTATGAAAACAATTGAATTCCTTAAGAATTTTATTATTTATAAAAATAATTCAATTAGGTATATTGCGAAGAAATTTATAGTTTGTAAATAAATGAATTTCTGTGAAATTATTATTTTATGAAAATAATTGAATTCCTTAAGAATTTTATTATTTATAAAAATAATTCATTTATATTGAGAAGAAATTTACAGTTTGTAAATAATTGAATTTCTGTGAAATTGTTATTTTATGAAAACAATTGAATTCCTTAAGAATTTTATTATTTATAAAAATAATTCAATTAGGTATATTGCGAAGAAATTTATAGTTTGTAAATAAATGAATTTCTGTGAAATTATTATTTTATGAAAATAATTGAATTCCTTAAGAATTTTATTATTTATAAAAATAATTCATTTATATTGAGAAGAAATTTATAGTTTGTAAATAATTGAATTTCTGTGAAATTATTATTTTATGAAAATAATTAAATGTTTGGGTAGAATTTTATTAAATTTTTTTTGAATACTTGAATTCTTTTGGAAAATGTTATTAAAATAATAGATATTGAAAATCATTGAATTGAGGAAAATCTTTGAAAATAATTGAAATTTTGCCAAGAATTTTATTAAAATTTTTGTAAATAATTGAATTTTGGAGAAGAATTTTATTATTTATAAAGATAATTGAAATTTTGACGACAATTTAAAAAAAATTTTGAACATAATTGAATTTCTGCAAAGAATTTTATTACTTTTGAAAATAATTGAATTTCTACAATCATTTATAATTTCTTTAAAATTGTCCAAATTATATCGTACAATTTACGAACTTTTTGTCCTTTTTTAATCAAATTACGGACCTTTTTTTTAAATTAAAATTCACTGATATTTAGTAGAATTCATGTAGAAATTCTCTAGAATCGTTGTACTGAAATTCTATAGAATATTCACTAGAATAATTCATATAGAATGATTCTAGTGAAATTCTCTAGAACTTTTTTAGCTGGGAAACAATAATAGTTACAACTGGCGATAGTTGTAAATGGTAATAATTAGGGTTTCGTGGCCCATGGCCGAAAGCCTTATAGTTTCACTTTGGCGTCCGTCCGTCCGTCTGTCCGTCGTAATTTGGGGCACTATAGATCCCAAATTTGGGGCATTATAGATCCCAAATTTGGGGCACTATAGATCCCAAATTTGGGGCACTATAGATCCCAAATCAGTCAGTCAGTCTTAACCACAATGGTTTATGATAACCAAAACAGGATTTTCTTTTTAAATGCAACGAAACCCTAGATGTAGGCGTTTTGCGCCTGCTTCTCTTCCAATTTTTAAAGAATGATAGTAAATATTGTTTGCAGTTTAAATAGAAATTCTTTAGCATATGTTATGACAACTGACGGTAATTCTGAGTAGAAATTATTCCACGGTAGTTGTAACAGGTAGTTGTAACAATATCTGAAGATAAACCTCCCGATGGTACAATATGTATTGATTTGTTTCGCAAAAATAATGAAGAATATCTTGGGAATATAAATTTTTTTTTCATCGATATGTATATTTAGGAATAAATTACAAGTAGTCAGAATTCTGTGGGAATAGATGATTTTTTGTTTTCTTTTATATTCTTCATTTGTTGAAACATTCGACACGATTTTAATCGTGAACATATTCGAATGCCGTCGTCTCCACCGGCTGTACAAGCACGAGTTTACTGTCACATGTGGCAGGCTACAAACGATCTTACGTGATGTTATTAGCGTCGTACAGTGTTTTACGAGACGATCCATTTATTTTGTTCTATATGACAGGTATAGCAGGACAGTCTCTCTCTCTCTATATATATATATCGGTATTCCAAAAACATTTCCCACGTTTCATCAAAATGAAAAGGAAAAAAAAATTCTGTCCCCAATAAATAAAAAATACTATGCAATTGTTGATATTTCAGTGAAGATGAAACTATTTTCTCTTGGTACTTTTGAGCCGATTTTTTTTGAATTTGTGTTTTTTGGTGAGAAATCGTAGTTGATAAACGAACGATGAATTAATTCTTTTAAATCCTTCTAGAGGACAAAAAAGGAAATGTTTCCCTTTTGAAGAAGAAACTATTTTTGATATCAATTGGTCACTGAATATCCCAATGGGTATTGGTCTCTCAAGTGCCTTCGCGCAATTAGCATAACTAGCGTTAGTATTGACGTGGACTAATCACAACCAGTTCCCACGAGGTTCTGGTTGACCTGTCTACCCATTGCTTATAGTATATACACACTGGCCTATACACTATCGTGCCGTGACGCACACTTAATAGCTTATATTCTGCACGACTAATAGCCAATTGCCAACAAAGTTCAACATTACTTTGATTGAGGCAAAATGTCTTCAGTGATCAGAAACTGGAAAATTGGGTTAATACAATTATTATTAGATGCTTGTAACTAAAAGGAGAAGAAGAAGGAGGAGGAGGAGAAAAAAACTAATGGATAAATACACGTTACATGCTACTCGTTATGATAATATCTTTCCTATATTCATTATATGTTATTTATCAAATGAATTGATGCAAATAATCGGTTATTTTCCGTAAACAAGTCACTTTCCCGCCCTGTTCAATTAGCCTGATTGTTATACAATTACTATTACGAATTTATTAGTTTTTGAATTACTTTCTACTTTCAACGATAATTTCGATGAGGAAAAGAATTATTAATTACCGTACTGGTAATTAAACTATCAAAAACTACCGTCCAATTTTTTGCTTGTTCAACACTTGTATACTTCTGGAATTATTGTTGTATTTTTTTCTAAACCGTAAGCTTTTTTCTTAACAGTGATTTAGAAAAAAAATGTAAACAAATGGTAGTTCGAACTAACGTTAATTTCAATTATTAATTATTAGATTTAAACGGTTTCAAGAAAAAATGTTTAACAACGGCAGTTTATCTTGTCGAATTAAATACCGATCGTTTGATTGAATCTTTAACTTTCTTCTTAATTTTTAAAACTTTTTTTCTTTTTTTCAATGTATTTCGTTGATTTCCCCTCCCCTTGAAATTAAAACAATTTTCTAACGATGCTCGTGACATTTAAGGAAAATTTTTTCCAAATACTAATTAGGAGAAAACATTTACCAAACCAAATAGGAAAAAAAAATTGTAATTCTACATGTCAATAGACTTGTAAAATGACAATTTTTTTAATTTGCAATTTACAATTGTTCGATTGTCGAACAATATTCTCTCTTTAGAAGGCACGATTCTGTTATGAAATTCAATTAGACAAAGAGAAAGAGAGAGATGCATCAATTGAGTCGGTGGAAAATTACTTCGTAAGTGCGGTGCGCACATGTATAAGATGCTGGGGTATATTAATGACTTTAAAGTTCTGCGATGAGTATAGTATAGTAGTAGAGAAAATTTTCCCCGACTCTCGCTTAGCCACTAAGATTACACAGTGAGAAGTTAATTTCAAAACTGACGAGTTTGTTTTGTTTTGTCTGTTTTTTTATCATAGGCGGCGGGACCGCCGGTACAACTTGAGCCAGTGGATCTGTCGGTGAAAACTCCCGTCGTGCTCCAAGTGCCACGATACAGTCCAGCAGCATTAATTACCAAGAGAGTCCCATCGCCATCGACGACGCCCACTCCACCTCCATTATGCATCTCTACCGGTGAGTACTTTGTAAAAAAAAATTTTTTTCTTATTTAAATATATTAAATCTAAAAATGCGAAAGGCAATTTTTTGCTTTATGGATGAAGAGGACTTTAAGTGACTCTAAGGAATTTTGAAGAGTTGTTTTTTAAAATAAAATTTAGAAATTAAATTAAAATTAAATTATTAAAATAAAAATGACCACAAAAGGGCAATAGCAGTCAGGAGGAAGTTTTTATTTTAATAATTTAATATCAAAGGACGTTAAAGATTATTATTAAAATTAAATTAAAATAAAATTTGAATTTATAGTACTGCATATTACCGTATAGTACCGTATAGTACATTATCGTACAGTATAGTACAGTATAGTAGACACCTATACTATCAGATAGCTACTATAATATAGTAAATAAAATCTTTACACTGGAAAAAATTTAGTTGATTCAAGTAAACGATTACTTTTTTATTATTAAATGAATATTTACTTCTATCGAATAATTTTTTCCGTTAAATTAATTAAATAGTATTTGCTCCAAATACTAAAATTATTGGTTCAAATAGTTAAGTAAAAGGAAAAATAATATTTAAGTAAAAATTGTTCGTTACAAATAAATATTTATTCGATAAAAGACAAGTAATCAGTTATTTGAATCAATTTTTCCCAGTGTCTACCCTGGAAAAAATAATTTTGATTAAAAAAATAATTTCATGGCTTATATGGTTTAGTCATGGTTAGTTACAGACAATGTTAGTTGGTGAAAACCTATCGAGATTTTTTTTAATATATTGATATGTTAGAGTTGATAACCACCTATGATCAAAAGCACCTTCCCATGTGAACAATTCCATAACGTTTATGTATAATTGAGCCGTTCAATTGACTAACGACTTAACTGCTATGGGAACTCGATAAGATTCAAGTTGTTAGCTTAAAACAAATAGCTCAATTTTCGATGATATTTTGTATTGTAATTTTCATTTTTATAACGACTTTCTGTTAAAGCTGTTTTTGAAAAAATTAATGGTTCTCTTCTTAGGAACGTGGTTTTTAAATTTTTTAATACTTTTTAAAATCAGTAAAAGAGAAATGGTAATTTCGATTAAAAAAACTTTTAATTGAAATTACCATTTCGATTAAGTTTCGACAGTAGTTTCAATTAAAAATATTCTCTGAATAATCTACGAAAACTACTTTACTGAATAGTAGTTTCAAATAAAAATGCTTTCAATTAAATTTAGTTTTCATTGATAATAAATTTCTATTAAAAATTATTTCAATTAATTGTAGAATTAATAAAACATACTTTTAATTATTTCTAGTTTCAATAATTAGGAATACTTTTAATTGAATATAGTAATAATTAGAAATTCTTTCAATTATTTGTAGTTTCAATTAAAAGCACCTTCAATTAATTGTACTTTCAAAAAAATTAATTTTAATACTTTAATTAATTCTACTTTCAATTAAAAGTAATTTAAATTAATTTTAGTTTCAATTAATTTATTCTTGTTTCAATTAAAATTACTTCAAAATTAAAATACTTTAATTTTTTTGTAATTTTAATTATAAGTACTTTGAATAAAAGTATTTTCAATTAATAGTAGTTATAATTAAATGTAATTTCAATTAAACATATTTTTATGTAATTGTACTTAGTTAAAAGTATTCTCAAATTAAAATACTGTCAATTAATTAAACACTGAAAAAAATTTTTTTTAAAACCAAATAACCGATTAATTGACTATTATCAATTAAATATTTACTTGAAACAAATCATATTTATTGGTGTGAATTAAATGGTATTTAAACCAATAATTTTAGTATTTGAAGCAAATACTATTTAATTGATTCCAATAAATATTACACAGGCACACAAAAAAAAAAAAGTTGTCTGTTCATTGAACCAGACCTACATGTCTTATAGTATTTTGGCCCCCTGAATACGAATATGAAGTCAGAATTGCTCCATCACCCTCTGTTTTTTTTAAATCGAGATAACTACCCTTAAGTCTAAAATTCAAGAACTAAATTTAAAAAAATTAAATAACCGCGGTTTCCTTCGGAGTAGAAAAATATATTTATGCGTTTTCTTCTTTCAACAACTCAGAAATAATTTCAAAATTGCTCCATCACCCCCTGTTTTTTTTAAATCGAAGAAACTACCCTTAAATCAAAAATTCAAGAACTAAATTAAAAAAAATGAAATAACCGCGGTTTCCTTCGGAGTAGAAAAATATATTTATGCGTTTTCTTCTTTCAACAACTCAGAAATAATGTCAAAATTGCTCCATCACCCCCTGTTTTTTTTAAATCGAAAAAACTACCCTTAAATCAAAAATTCAAGAACTAAATTAAAAAAAAATAAAATAACCGCGGTTAACTTCTGAGTAGAAGAATATATTTATGCGTTTTCTTCTTTCAACAACTCAGAAATAATTTCAAAATTGCTCCATCACCCCCTGTTTTTTTTAAATCGAAGAAACTACCCTTAAATCAAAAATTCAAGAACTAAATTTAAAAAAATTAAATAACCGCGGTTAACTTCTGAGTAGAAGAATATATTTATGCGTTTTCTTCTTTCAACAACTCAGAAATAATGTTATTTCATTTTTTTTAAATTTAGTTCTTGAATTTTAGATTTAAGGGTAGTTTCTTCGATTTAAAAAAACAGGGGGTGATGTAGCAATTTTGACATTGTTTCTAAGTTGTTGAAAGAAGAATACGCATAAATATATTCTTCTACTCAGAAGAAAACCGCGGTTATTTCATTTTTTTAAATTTAGTTCTTGAATTTTAGACTTAAGGGTAGTTTCTTCGATTTAAAAAAACAGGGGGTGATGGAGCAATTTTGAAATTATTTCTGAGTTGTTGAAAGAAGAATACGCATAAATATATTCTTCTAATCAGAAGAAAACCGCGGTTATTTCATTTTTTTAAATTTAGTTCTTGAATTTTAGACTTAAGGGTAGTTTTTTCGATTTAAAAAAAAACAGAGGGTGATGGAGCAATTCTGACTTCATATTCGTATTCAGGGGGCCAAAATACTATAAGACATGTAGGTCTGGTTCAATGAACAGACAACTTTTTTTTTTTTGTGTGCCTGTGTTATTAGATGCAATTAAATATTTAATTGATAATAATAATCAATTAATCTGTTATTTGAATCAAATAAATTTTTTTTCAGTGTAGTTTCAAGTAATAAGACTCCAAATAAATGTAGTTTCAAATAATGTTATTTAAATTAATTTTACTTCAAAATAATTGTAGTTTAATTAATTTTACTTCAAAATAATTGTAGTTCAATTAATGTTGCTTCAAAATAATTGTAGTTCAATTAATTTTACTTTAAAATTATTGCAGTTTAATTAATTATAATGTTGTAGTTTCTGATAGCATTTCACGCAAGCAAAACAAAAATAGTCTCATTAAAGCTCTTTTCTAAGCATTCAATTATTTGAAAAAACCAGTGTCTCTTTCTCTAGAGAAAAAACAAAAACTAAAAAGCAAAAAAAAAAATCTAAAAATCTGGTTTAGGAGACAGTGAAACAACAATTTTGTTACTTTTGTTTCACGTTTCTCGTGTCGTAACTTTGAACTCGAATGCCAGAAATACCAGGGAAGTCGTTTGTGGTGGACCGTCGCCGGTGTTGGAAATTCCACGCCCTCCGTAAACGGTAGAATTCAGCAGTTATATGAACTGCTCTTCGCGAAGAGAGAACTTTCAGACCACGACTTTATTGCTTCTTGCACATATGTGTATATATATCTACACAATGTGCGAAAATATCCAGGTTCGAGAACTTGAGTGTATGCGCACAAAAGCGCTTATGGACATGCCATTTCGAAGATCAGCAGCGATTGTGTTTGCTTTATAGTTTAATTATGTGGCAATTTCTATACGCACGAGTATATAGGAATTTCTTTTCTATTCTATAGAAATAGAGTGAGAGAGAGAGAGAGAGAGAGAAAATCTTTTTGCGAATATAACAATAATTTACCGTTTAATGTTCCGACTAGTTTTGTAAATATTTTTTCAGTTTTTTGTATAATATCGTCGAAAATATATTAGTTGCTTCAGGTAACAAGCAATAAAACTAGAATCTAAGTTTTGATCAAAGCAACCATGAGTCGTGAAATCTTTTCCTTATTCATCGGATATAATACGGGAAACGATGACTTCTTTTGCATAGAATAGACACTTTTCTTGCCATTTTTGGAATTTGAATTGTTTCCAATGGGGGATTTTGAAGAACAAGAATTATTGAAATTGCAACATTAATTGATGTTTGTGTCGTCGGATATTGATAATAATTTTCTTCAACGAGAATCAAATGGTAATTTTTCTACATTCTTTGGAAATGTTCTTGCTATGCGCTCTTGGGAATTTGTATTTTCAAATTGGCTTTGAAAATTTTTTTCCTAATAATAATTAGGAAAAAATTTTTGAAAGACAATTTGAAGATACAAATTCTCAAGAGCGCATAGCTCTTTTTTTACTTATCAAATTTAGACAAAAAAAAAAAAATTGGTAGATTATTTTGAAATTCGAATTCGACTTTAATTCTATTATTTTATCCTCAACAAAATAATTGAAGGACTTTCCTACACCTCTGATAATTTCAACACATTTACAAATTTTTTTTTATTCCATCAAGTCATCAAAAATTAAAAATTTTAAACATTGAAAGAATTCACACGCACGATTGGAATTTTCCGATAACTACACTGGCCCCATAGAATTTATAGACGAGCGAGCCGTTAGTCGATGGCAATGTTAAAACCATCGTCTAATATCTATACCTATCAGTGGCGAGAATCACGCATTTACTGGGGAAACAATAGAATGTTGGTTTAAGAGAGAAAGAGACAGAGAGAAATGTGTTTGCACCGCGTAAAATCTCTCCTCGTGCCCGTTGTCTTCTCATTTGCCCCAAGGAACCTCGCGCGGTAGCCTATTCGAAAATTTTCATTCAACGGAATGTGTCATGGAATAATCTGTGTTCCGACACACTTC